TTATATATATATATATATATATATTTTATATATATATATATATATATATTTATTATATATATTATATATATTATTATATTATATATATATTTTATATATATATATATATATAAAAAACCAAAACCTTAACCAAAACCTGTTTTTACCCCCGTGCTCCGTTTAGGCTACTTTGCATGCAATACAAGGACCATGTTTAATCGCAGCTTTCCCCACTTGGGACGGCCGATCCGATCTGTCCTTCTTCCGGACGGACGACAGAAGCGCTCTTCCTCTCCCTCTCCAGCTAGCATGAAACGGGGTCTTTCCGGGGACATGCACCTTCGTATAGGTGGACGGCATAGTAACATTCGTGATTACACACCAAACGCGCCTGCTTTTTTGTTATATATATATTTTTAACGTTTGGGACGCATATTTATGGGTGATCGAACCGTTCAGGACAAATACCGGACGGGAACTTTACACGGGTCCATTTGTAACAGGTGGGGGACTGCTCCCGGTGCGGTTTAGCGGGGGGAGGGTGGGCTTATGGGGGCGATTTCAGACCTCACAGCCACGTCAGAGCCGTCCCGTTCAGATCCGCCGCCGCTGTCTCAGAGCCCGGGGAGGTGGGAATAAAATAATTATTTATATTAATTCGGTCGTTTTTTTCGTGGTTTTTTTTGTGGTGCGGGGGTTCATTTTAATCGTTAGGATTTCTCCCCCCCCCCTTTTTTTTTAATCAGCTGGGAGACCTTTAACGCACAGGTGGGAGAAGCTCGTGCCATAGGACGGCCCCCTCTTTCAGTTCCTCGGCGGAGGAGGTGTGCGGCTGACATTTGTTGTTGCCGTTTGGGACAGGAGACAAAACGTTTCTGCAAACAGGTGTGAGAGGCACACTAACCCGCGCTCAACGCAGATATTCCTCTTTATTATTAGGGAGGGGGAAAGCGACACCGCGCCGTTCCTCCTTTTTCTGCCAAAAAGAGGAATCGGCTGTAACGGCGAGCTTTTTTTTTTTTTTTTTTCTTTACTTTCTGCGGTGTTAATTGGGATAATTTCAGGAAATATCCGGCCGGTTATTAAACGGCAGGTCAGCAGAAAAGCCATGTCAAGTAAGAGATCATGCTCGGATCTGACGAGGAGAAGCCGGAGCCCCGTCGCCTCGGAGGCTGAGATGATGTTCAGCCAATTTCAGGACTGGTGCCTCCGCACTTACGGGGACTCCGGTAAAACAAAGACGGTCACCCGGCGAAAATACAACAAGATCCTGCAGACGCTGCTGCAGGGCGACGAGGCGGACGGCGTCTACGCGGAGAACAGCCACATCAACGCCAAATTCAAATTCTGGGTGAAATCAAAAGGCTTTCAGCTCGGGGGCGTCCAAGGCGACTACAAGAAAGGGGCATCCGGAAAACCTGTCCTTTACGTCCCCATCAAGGCAGCGGTCAGTGACATGTGTGTCTCTCCCTGTGTGCGTCTCCGTGCCGTTTGCACATTTAAACCCCTTTGTGCTGTTATATCCTGATAAGTACGTTTATGTTTGTGAATCGCATAGACATTGACACCTGTGTTTAATTCTAACTTTTTTTATAGGGGGGCGGTTATTGTCCCCCCCGCCCCTCCCCCTCCCGCCTTCAATAAAAAAAAACACATCGGTTATGTCCCATCCGAGATACCCGGTACCCCAGAAGGGAAAAGCAGACGCGGGAGAGGGAGGGGGGCGGTTTAGATCCACGTCCTCCCAATTTGCATCGTGTTGTCCGGCCAGCCGAAACAGGACGGTGCCCCGCTCGGCTTCACAAAGCGTTTGTTTTACTTCATTTGTTGAAAAAGGAAAGGAAAAGCTCTTAAGCAGCACCGAAGCCCAGATGAACAGGCGTGGTGTCCCTGTTTAAAAAAGAAATGATATTTTCTATAAATTTTTTGCAAAGGTAGGCATGCGTGCGTACGCGGTCGGACAGCCGGCCCAGCCCCATCCGGAGGGACGGCATGAAATTGCCTTAGTAATTAGCCCAGAAAACGGAACTACCCATAAATAAATCTATGTAAAAAGTAGCCTACCGCTAGCTAATAAATAAACCACGGATATCAGCAAGTGCCGTGCGATTAAAGAACGTTTTTCTGTATTGTTTTGTTTAATACTAAGGGTTGGGGACAACTGTTGATTATAATGAGGGTATGTATATTGACTTTTAATAATGCATTAGGTTTGGTAGGCGCAGCCTGTCCTGCACTGAACCCCCAGGCAGAAACGGTCCTTCCTGGGATGGCGGTGGGGGTGTGAGTTAGTATCATCGGGCTTCTGATGATCCTCATGACAACCCTTTGCCTAGCTTTGAAACTATTTATGAACTGAAACTCTTCGAATAATATCTGTGCAAATTTTATTTAACGTCCACGTTCAGTTGGAATAAGGTCGAAAGTTCATCTGAATGGTGAAAAGCAAACACGGAAATAGTGCTTTCTCCTTATGTATCAGTTTAAGGTATGGGTACGTGGAAGCACAGGTACAGATAGATTAAGGATACAAATCGGACAGGAGTTCAGCTTCACTTTGCCTGCACAAAATACTCAAAGTAGTAGCGGGACAGGACTGCATTCATGCTAGTTTTAGGAGATCAATCATCCTGGATCAACTTCAAAACGAGGACATCCTAAAAATTAGACTCTTGAGATCTTTTACCCGGTAGAAAATGGCCAATTTAAGGTTTAGTTGTTCAGTCCATGCAAAACAAAGCATGAAACAGCCGAAGATGGCAGCGCGGATGCATTTGGACGGTGTCTTTAACACCCGAGGCATCGTTCATTACGTAATTTATCTGCGCAGAAACTTGCACAGTCTCCAGCTTCGGCCCTCTGTGTCTTACAGCTGGATGTTTACTGAAGCGAATCAAACTGCGAGGCTGATCCCGGGAGTCACAGTAAGTCAGCCTCGTGGATTTAAATGTGCCATGTTTCGCTCTGAGGCAGAGTTTCCTATCCTACTCCAGACCTCTGCCATTATAACGAAACCAGTTATGCTTCGCGGGATGGTATTCAAATCCCGAATTTTACTATTTAAATTCAGGCACCATATCCGTTAATACCATGGCCACAATTATGAGAGAAAAACGCACAGGGTGGTAAAAAATGAATAACAGATCGCGGGTCTGCCAGAAAAAGACTGTCAGCTCCACGAGTCGATCTGAATGTGTGCTCTCGCGGACCGGACCGACTTTATTTCTGTCCCTCGGGGGAATTGAGAGAGGACCTGTCAGGTGGG